AGTGTAGGATTTGAGTGGATGAAAGGGACGGAGGGGAAAAAAGAGGAGGCACGGAATTTACTGTTCAGTACGGAAACAGACAACAAAGGTCGTGGAATGATGCAGATTTTATAGTTAAAACATGGGGACGGGACTGCAAGGAGGGAAGAAAGAAAGAAAGGAGGTTGTGCATTTGAGATGTGGGCAAAAAGCTTTATTTAAAAAAACAAAAAAGGTTATTAGAGGATCACGGGTTTGAATCCCGTCTTCTTGGCTGTAGTGCATTTTTTAACAAGCACCATAAAATCTGCTCCACTCTCCTCGGGTGTCTCCTGCTCCTGGGATGATTAAATGCAGAGGAGAAATTTGCTTGTGTGTATATATCTGTATATGAGCAGAGACCTAGACAGTTTACACTAATCTCTTCTCAGTACAACTCATGTCAAAGCAGAACCACTTCATTGACTCAGTCCACAGTTTTCTGTCCATATTCCAGTCATCCAGTCTTGCATGTGGACTCTTTTAAATACTTTATCATATGGCCTTCTGCTGATACTGATATTATTTATGTTTATATTGTTTTCTTGATTCCAGTTTTATTTTATTTTGTTTTATATTTTCTATTTCATTTATTGTACTTTTACTTGCCTTTACTTCCGTCTCTATCGCACCTTCATTTCTCTGTCATTGTCTGCAATGTCATGCGACAATTAAAGATTCTTGATTCTTTTGATTCTTCATCTGCGTCAGTTTTTCTTCCTAAGGTCATAATCAGAGACCATGTGAATTTTTCCTGATGTGTCCTGACGCGACATCTCCATTGACAACAGTGAAATCTAAGCCCCCCCATCTTTCAGCGTAGACTCTAATTAAAGAGGGGCTTCATTTCCACTCGGCCGCTGATACACCACATGCCTTTCTTTTCTACCTCACCACGAGCTCTCAATTAGCCTCCAGGTCACCCCGTTTTATTGGGGCTTCATAGCGAGTCAGTGGCAGCACTCTCGTCCTGTATTGTGCTTTTTAAAGCGTTGGAATCTTCCTGTGAAATAGTTAGGGCCCCAACAAAGGGGTCAGGCCAGGGTCGACATCAAATAGGGGCTTCTGGGGGCTACTTTACAGCACCCTCTCACTCCTTTGTCAGTGCTAAGCACCAGAGTGGGCATTCAAGGGTCAACAGGTGTGGTCCTGGGGGTTCAGGAGCCAATGACACTTCTCAAACAAATTATTTGGTTTCCTGGTGTAATATTTGGGTGAGAAAAGGCAATGTTATTTTAACTATAACTACATCTGTTTGGTGATGTCTTGAGCTTTAGACAATAATAAACTTAATAGATTTAGGTTTGTTACTTTCAATTGGCATTCTAAATCTTGGGGGCTAATTTTAAATACGATGTCCTTCACGTGTGTTCTGTTTGTGAGGAAAGTCATAATTATAGCTTATTTTATTAATCATGCAGGTACATGGTCTTTTCCCTGACATTTAGGGGTGGATTTTCATGTAATCGCAGGACTTTTGTAGCTAACGTTAGCTTTGTAGCTAACGTTTAGCTAACGTTAGCTCTGATGTCCGTACCAGCACTGTTGTAGCTAATGTTAGCTCTGGTGTCTGTACCAGGACTGTTTTAGCTAACGTTAGTCAAGTATGATCTTCCTTCCAGCTTACCTTAAACGATCTGTGAGATCTCTTTAATCCTTTTGTTGTGGTAAGTGCTGTCTTACTTTAATGATTGTAAACAATCCATTTTGTAGCATTCAGATTCTGTATTACCTCAAAAAGATAGCAGGCATAGCCCTAACACAAAGTGTGGGAAGTATTTGTGCATTTTGGGCACAGGACTGTTTGGACTGGTGGCAGTGATGTTTGTTTTCCAGAGGCTTTTAGTACAAACTGGCTTCAACTCATCCTTTCACACTTACACTAACACACAAAGACATACACACACACAGTAGATGGAGAAGGTGTGCTTTCTGTTGTCAACATGGCTTTGTGGCACCGTACAGTGAACATGTGGAGTAGAGACTGTTGAAAATATGCTGGACTCAATCATCAGACTGGCTCAGGGCATACAGGAAGTGGTTGGCAGGATGTCAGTGTGTAATCAGCTGGATTCCTTTGGTGTGTGAAGACAAACAAAAGTGATTTGTTGCTGATTTGTAAGCAAGCTGTATGGTGCTAAAAGATGACTGCTGCACAAGGGTTTGTATGTATGCATTAACTTCACATTTCCTACTCTATGCAGGTATGAAATAGGATTTTTTTCATGCACATGTCTGTTTGCTGGTAGCAAGGTAGAATGTGGGGGTCGCATATTTGTCCAGATCCTGCTCTGACCTAGCATTTGTGTGCCATGTTTAATTAACCCTCTATTTTTTAACAAACCTGAATGGAAATCTTGTAAATGTATAGAAGCAATAACACAATAACATATACAACATGCAAAATTCTCAAAAATAAAAACTCTTTCAAACAGAAAGACTCAGCTTGAAAGGCTTTACTCGTTCTTTTACTTATACTTTATTTTTCTTTTACTTATTTATATATATATATATGTGTGTGTGTGTGTGTGTGTGTGTGTGTGTGTTATTTTCAAAACTAAAAAAATGTTTGCATTGTCCTTGAACTTTTATTTGAGCTATCTGGAAAAAGAGCCTAAGGTGTTGACCCCAGGGTCGCTCCCAATCCACAGGCAGATAAAAATGAGCTTATTCCATGTACAGCTCCACATGAATATAATCACCCCCAGGGGATTTGACAAAGTTAGATGTCATTAGTTCCCTGGCCCTGTACCGCCATCATGAGAGTTTTGTGAATTTGAATCCTCTGACTGATATAATTATATTCCACTTTAAAGTTGATTTCCAACATCAAAGAGACAATATATTCTTTGAAGTAGCATGAGATTAGATCAGCCGTCCTACCCACTCTTTTAGATTCTGTCACAATGACATTAGAGAAGTCATGTGAATTAAAAGACCAGAGAACAGCGCCTGCCTTTGCTCTGTGTCCATTTTCAATCAAAATGTCATGCTGTGCTATTTTCTCTCAATGTGGGACTGGCAAGTGTGTTAGCCTGGAATCTTTGTGGCTAAAAGCCTGTGACCAATTTCAAGTATTTGACTGTTACGATACAGGATTGTCAAAAAGGAATTTTAAAAAAGTAAAAGTACTACAATCAACACCAGACATTGTTTCTATTTATAAACGAGCTGCTACTTGAAGGAGGTTTATTTATACATAAACAATTGTGTGGTTTCCTCCACCCAGACCCTGATCTGGTGTTAATGTAAACATTTAGCGCTAGCTTTTATTTGTCATTGGTGTCAGGACAAAAAAGAATCACAACTTATTTTTTACCTTACCTGTAGCTATTTAAAACGGTCTTTCAGTCTCATTCATTGTTTTTTTATGAGGCGATGTGAGTTGCCATGAACGTTGGATTGAGAACCATAATTTTCTTTTTCAATTCACAAACGTATAAAGTAAGATTTTTGTTTTCAAACAAAATAGCATTTGTAAATTTCATAAATACAATTTAAGAATACCTGTGGTAATGTGAAATTCAAATAGATTCCCATCGTTCCTTGTTGTGTACATTATATATATGTATTTGTGTGCTATTACTGCTTTATTTTGGCTTTTATTAATATTTGACAATATTTTATAGGGTGACTTTTAGAATGATCTCAATTTATTATATTTAAACGTTTTTTTCCAATCTTTCACCCAGATTAGGGTAACACCATGGTCTGTTGTATCTAATCAACACTTACTGTTTACTTTGGAACAGTGTAAAGTTTCAGGGACCATTGTGTTTTTTTAATTAGTCCATTTGTGTTAATAAAAAACATTTTGATCCCTCCCTCACAATTTTTAAATAGCCTTCACTGAGGGTTTATTTAAGGGGGCCATCAGTGCTTTCATTTTGGTGCCAGGACTGGACTGGTCTTGTCACTCGGAAAGGCTATCGGCAACAATGGCAGCCCAGGGCTTTTGTTTGCTTTGTGTTGTGTCTGTTGAAACTTTGTATAGTAACACAACACACATACTGTAAGTGAAACGCTATTGGCGCGGCGGATCACTTACTTCTGACGCTCCAAAGCCTCGGGGAGTTGGCTCTGTTCAGCCTGTCTTTGATAAGGTCCTGCTCCAGATGCAGATCTTTTCTGCGCCTAAAAAAGTTCATTCGCCACATTTGCACGCGTATTACACACGGAGGATGGTCTGATAAAAATGCATTAATTGGCTTGTAGCTCGATTGTCCTTTTTTGTCTCCAGCGTGCTTTTGTGTATTGTGTTTTTGCTTTGGTTGGTGCGCGGACGACGCGCTGTATTTTGTTGTATCTTCCAGGACCTGAGCAGCGGTTCCTTGCTTTGAAGTGCGAACAGTTAAACCCTGCTCAGCCCGGGTCTGTTGAAAGAACAGCCTGAAGGATTTCTATCCGACTGCCATGGCTCTTTAAAACACAACATTGGCAGGAAAAGGCGAAGACAAAGACGTATTTTTAAAATTATTATTTTATTTTGTGTGCCTTTTATTTCGTCCGCTCAGACAGGACCAGTGTGTACGCGAGGGGGGAAACGCCGGTGCGGCTACAGCGCAGCCTGTTGTTGATTCATGGGGACTACTTTGCTGTGACTTTATACACTTTATCTCGTGTTGTTGTTTTTGTTTTTGTTTTTTTTAATTTTTTTTGTATAATCAGTGAGGAGTCTACAGTGGGCTACACGAATGGTAAGTCGTGGCAAAGCCGCTCCACAGGCCCACTCTCGCGGCCGCTTTGATGTGCTGCTGCTGCCCTTTGAAGTTGAGAAATGCGGGCACTGTTCCTTGTTTGTGGGCGAGGAATAACAGTGAGACAGATAAGAAGCTTATGTATCCCTGTGTGTAGATGTGAGAGTATACACGTAGACGGTTGTTCACGTCAAACCAGCTTTAGGACCTTTTCTAGCAGTAAATACTGACTGACTCTTTAAAAGACCAGGTGCGCTCATCGGGAGTTTTCGTCCAAACGCTGGATTGTGACCCACACATGGCTCGCCTGGGATTTTTCGTTGTTGGCGGAATAAAATATGTTTTAAACTTCCCAACACAGAGTTCTTGCTACTTCTTGTGATCTGACCAGAGTTTGTTAGATATGTGTCTGATTTGACAAGATAGAAATCGCGCGTGTGTGCGTGCTTCTTTTGAATGGAGGTGGGAATAGAATTAAATCTTTCTCGTCAACCTTTTCTCTTCTTTCAACCCTGTTTGTTTTGGTACCAGTCTTGTCGGGGCCCACTGTACACTTTGACAAAAACACTGGCTCACTGACAGTGGGGTTTGAGGTATGTTTACTGGAATACAAACCAGTCTTGTCAAGACTAGTTGTCCTTTACAGTTTGAGACACCTGTCTCTCTGCTGTGTTACTTCTTCAGGGCTTTTTTTCTAATACATAATATATCTTGTCCGGACTAGCTTATTCACTAATTTTACCAAACCTGTCTCTGTTTCTAGTGCAGGTACCACCCTTTGAAACACCATCAGCCTACGTGCATACGTCTCCTTGTCTCCTTGCTCATAAGGACCTGTTGTTAACCTTGTGTTAAATCTGTCTCCTTGTCATTAGAATCACTAAAAACGGCAGAGGAGGATGTGTCACATTCAGTTAGTTGTTGCTTTTGTTCCCTTAAACGGATCTCTTTTTTAGTTAATACGTGTAGATCTTATTGTAGAATTACATCTGGCATAAACTCAGATCTTTTGTATCTGTTCCAAATGAAAGGGAAACGTGATTCGAGTTAAAGCAGTAGTTTATTTGTATAATTTAGATTGGGTTCACATTGTTAACGTTTGTCCAACCTCTGTAATTACTAGCTGTGTGGTTGACAGTAGAAAGAGACGAAGTGGAGGTGTAACGGTGTTTTTTATATGTGGGATAAAAAAAAAATAGAACTCTGTTGGAGGTGGCTGTGGTGTTGCGTCCTCTATAGCCCCTGTCCCACTCCCTACCTCCTCCCCTCTCCCCTCTCCCCTCCCACCTCCTCCTGCACGTTTGACACCCCTTGTGATCTACATAGTCACTGAGCCTTCCTACTCTGAGGTCAGTTGTTGAATGGGACAGGGTGCGTTCAACATCAGCGCTGCGTTTGGACACATGTAGCAGGTCGCACGCTCGTGAACGCCGCCCTACATGTAATTCATATTCTCCCAGTGCTGGATTACTGTGAAGAGAGTTTTGCACTGTGATCGATTCAACTCAAAATGGAGTAATTCACTTTTTAACGGGATTTAAAGTCTGGATGAACATCATACTCTGCAATGGTATGTGGTTTTACGCACGACCATGCTGCAGTTTTACTTAGAGACGGTCAAAGAGAGTTACACTGTCTGCACTCTGCGTAACATAGATAGATAGATAGATAGATAGATAGATAGATAGATAGATAGATAGATAGATAGATAGATATAAATGTTTTAAATGTGTTTTATCTTATGGTTCACGATCAGTTTGTGCCGCTTCACTTTTGGCGACGGCGCTGCTGTTTCTTGCTGACGCTCCATGGCTGAGGTAGATGTTTAACGTGTTCCACATGTACAGTATATATCGGCCTGTTATCTTCGGCTGCGCTCGTTGGTAGTTCACACACGTTGTCGGGGCTATGATTGGAAGAACGGCTGTAATCGCCCTGACCGGCAAATATTACGGCGATTGATCGCCTGCTTTTACGCATGAGCGGCGAGCCCGTCTTCTCCCGCGGGGCTCTTTAGCCCAGTGTCTGAGGTCACTGAGATGCCGATGAACGGATGCATTTTCTCCAAACTCTCGTCTGCACATCAGCGAGTTGAAAAGTGTGCAGATGCAGCGGGACGGCGGCTGAAGGTAGGACTGGCAGTGCATTAATTGGAGCTGTTTAGAGAGATGGACTTGTTCGGAAAACACGTGTCTGCAGCCGCAGTTGTGAAAGACTCCGGTTTGGCTGAAGAAATGATGGTTTGTCGTAGGTATGATTTTTCATATGACACGTCAGTGCAGGTTGAGAATGTAGGCTGCAGTTGATCTCTGGGTTTAGATTATAAATAGATAAATGAAGCCAAAGAAAAGCTCTTTCATATCCTCCCTGTCTGTGTGAACCCGCGGCGGGTGCCTGTGTTTGAAAGGG